GCCCCCCGACCACCAGGAGCAGGACCACAGACCTCGTCGAGAACCCGCTTCAGCCTTAGTACTACCCGTCCTCACTGGCCAGCCCAGCAAGATGGTGCCTCTCCTTCCCAACCTCGTTTATTTGTGAACAGAGCCGCTCTGAAGGGAAGGGAAGGTGGGGGGAGGCGCTGCCCTATTGGCACTGATTTCACAGGAAGAAGTCCACAGCTGCTCAAAGTCAGTTCCAAAATTAACAACGCCCTTGAGAATGTGAAGGGGGGATGAGGATGACCCACCTCAGGGGACACCCACCCGCAGTCCCTGTTTCTGGCCCAGGACAGACAGACTGCTTCAGGCTCGTCCTAAATTCCTTAATTCCAGCCAGGCGGCAGCCCACTAACCTGAGGCCGGCCCCCAGGGTCCTTAGGATTGGTGGGGTTCTTGGTAGGTTTGCTTTGCCTAACTACGGGCTTGAGGACCTACAAGGTAGGGAGGGAGTCACTTCGGGAAAGCATTCAGCAATGTGTGCCCCCAATGAGGGCCACCTCCTAACCCAGAACCTGTGAGGACTTTAACCTAGGAAGCAAAAGGGACTGTGCAGGTGTGATGAAGTTCAGGATCTTCAGATAGGAGTTGACCATAATTCTCTGGGTGATCCACAGGGTCCTCAGAAGAGGACGAGGGCCAGAGTCCGAGAAGGGGACGTGACCATGATGGCGAGGCAGAGGCCCGCCATGTGACTGCAGCCGTGGCAACACAGGAGACCACAGCTAAGCAACGTAGGGGCCTCCAGAAGGCAGCTCTGTCGACACCTTGATTTGAGCTGCGTGAGACCAATTTTGGACCTCTGACCGCCAGAACTCTGAGATAATAAATCTGTGTTGTTCTGGACCACACCTGTGTGGCCATGTGTGACAGCAACCACAGGAAGTGACCACACAATGCAGGACATTTCACCATGTGGGCGGCCCAGGGCAGCCTAGAACTAATTTCCCTCAGCCAGCTGCAGACAGGCCAGCCCTGAAGGAGGGTCAGGGGAGGGCTGCTTCTGCGCAATGCTTTCTGCAAGTGAGAACGTCTCCTAATGATAACAGGATGGCTAGGCAGGGTTTTGTTTTATGACATTTTAAGACATTCTGGATGGGTCCCAAGATTTGTATAAGCCTATGAGTCATTAGATTAAATCAGTATATAATTCCCTCCCCTTTTTTCATAAGAATTATTGTACCCCTTGCTATGAAGAAGCGTGGAATTTTTAAGTCTTCCATTTTTATGGGCTCAACTCCACTTTTCTTCAACAGAAAAAAATGGAATGACAGATTAATTTTGGGCTTGAGATAAACTGCTCTATAACTTTTTAAATTAAGATGTAACAGGTCCTTACGTGATCAGATTTCTAATCTAGTTTAAACAACGAAATCTATGAATATGTAAACATAACCATCAGTAACGGCTTTCCCTATGGAACTTCCAAGTGTTGGGAGTGGCTTATGGAAACCTTGCTCTGGTTTTCTAAGATAAAGTTGGAAGGAAATCCTGAGAAATGCACATTAAAAGATATCACCTCAGACCTGTCAGAATGGCTGTCATCAATAAATCAACAAACAAGTGTTGGAGAAGATGTAGAGAAAGGGAACCCTCGTGCACTGTTGGTGGGATTGTAAATTGGTACAGACACTATAGAAAACAGTATGGAAGTTGTAATATAGAAAGTCACACATGAAACCAATATGTTCATGTTGACCAATGTCACCTCAATCAATTTAATAAATACAATTTTTAAAAAAAGAAAACAGTATGGAGATTCCTCAAAAAATCAGAAATAGAACGACCATATGACCCAGCAATCCCACATCCGGGTATTTATCTGAAGAAAGCCAAAAGACTAATTCAAGAAGATACATGCTCAAAGGGGGGGGGAGGGGGGGAGAGACATATGTAATACTCTTTGTAATACTTTAAGCAATAAAACAAAATTAAAAAAGGAAGATACATGCACCCCTATGTTCATTGCAGCATTGTTTACAATAGCCAAGATATGGAAGTGACCTAAGTGTCCATGGCACCTCGAATTCCCAAGCTCATTTATTTGTAAACAGAGCTGCACTGAAGGGAGGGGAACGGCTAAAGAAAATGTGGTACATATATACAATTCTACTATTCAGATATAAATAAGAATGAAATCTTGCCATTTGTGACAATATGGATAGACCTAGAGGTTATTACACTAAGTGAAATAAGTCAGACAAAGACAAACGCCATATAATTTCACTTATACGTGTAATTAAAATAAATGACACACAAAACAGAAACAAACTCACTGACATGGAGAACAGACTGATGCTTGCCATGAGAAGGGGGTAGGGGGATGAGGTTAAGATGTACAAATTGGCAAATGTTACAAAACAGTCATAGGGATGCAGAGTACGGCGTAGGGATATAGTTAATAATGTTGCAATAACCATGTATGGTGCCAGCTGAGTACTAGACTTACCAGGGCGATCACTTTGTAAGCTATAAGTTAAATGTCTAACCACGATGATATACACCTGAAAGTAATATAATATTGAGTATCAACTGTAAGTGAAAAAAAAATTTAATTGCAAAAAAAAAAAAATCCTGGCAAGGCACTTCTTCAAGAGAGAAACTAGGAAATCGGTTGCATGTGGAATCTGCCACAGGGCTTGGTCAGGACAAGACGGCTCGTGGTTCTCACACATCCTCGAGTACCAGCCCTACCCAGATGTCTGGGTCTCAGCTCAGGGCTCGTGTTGCTGTAGGTCTGGGTGGAGCCTGATAATCTGTATTTCTAACAAGCTCCCAGGTGATGCTGTCCCTCCTTTGAGAACCACGGTGGTGGAGGAACCCCTCTTACACAGGGCCAAATTTCTCACCGGTCCTGAGAAGGGTCGTGACCTTACCTCGTCTGAGTGAACTATCCTGACAAGCTAGTGAATACACTGTGATTGCGGAAGCATCTCCATCGCCTACTTGACTCCCAGGCCTGGCTGCATGTTGGAATTACAGAGAGTGCTGTTAAACCCCTCAGGACCCAGGCCTCCCTCCAGATGAATTAAATCAGAATGGGGCTGGGGGGTGAGCGAATCTCAGTACTTTAAAAAAATCTTTTTTTAAAATTGATATTTAGAGAGAGGAAAGGAGAGAGAGAAACATCGATGTGAGAGAGAAACATTGACTGGCGACCTTCCCAAACATCCCAACCAGGAATCGAACCCACCCCCTCACCCCATGCTCCAACCAACTGAGCCACCCAGTCAGGGCAAGTCTCAGGAGTTTTTAAAACTCCCCAAGTGATCCAAAGTGCAGCCAAGATGGGGAACTGCCGCTCTAAGCAAACATGAGGGATGGCAACGGACCAGAACAGACATTCAGCAGGGCCTCACGCTAAGCCCAGGCCTGTCCTCTCAAGTGCTGGGCTCTTGCCTCCTGCACCGGGACACGTGATCAGTGCTCAATAAACACTCGCTGAGTGAATGACAACTAACCGAACAGCAAACCTGAAGAGGACTAGCACCTCCCTTCTCCAGGGTACCTGGGGGAGAAACAAATTATGTCCTTATAAATTGTTAAGCCTCATGAGGGCAGTGGCCCTATAATAAAAGAAGTTCTTTTGAGAAGGCTCTGCTTGGGAAGTGCCACCACATTCCTAAGTCCAAATACATATCATAACTACCATGGGGAAGAACTGGGAAACATTTTCTTAGTCCAGAAAAGGGGTAGACAAACTATGACCCACAGGCCAAATCCAGCTGCCACCTATTCTTATAAATAAAGTTTTATTGGCACACAGACACACCCAGTTGTGTCCACACTGTGGCTGCTTTCACACTACAAGGGCAGAGTTGAGTATTTTCAGCTGAAAGGGTGTGGTTTGCAAAGCCAGAAATATTTACTCTCTGGTCCTTTAGAGAACAAGTTTGCCAACCCGTCCCTAGAGATATAAGAGGACATATACAAACAAAACATAATGTGATTGTCTTTAGGTGGTGAAGTTATGGGTGACTATTTTCTTTTTTTTTTTCTTCTTCTTCTTCTACTAGCCAGCTTTGGAGTTGTGTATTTATAGAAGCATGTGAGATAGGGTATGTGGTAAAACAGCATAACCAATAAGGCTTCCAGGGATTATCAAGCAGAGAGTAAGCCTAACCCCCAAAGGGTTTATGGCTTAAAACCAGCAGAAGACCAACTCGATCCAACATGGAGACTAATTTCACCTTGAGGTCACCCCGAGCCTCATATACACTCATTGTAATGTGTTAGCGTCCTAAACGACACACCCTGTGCACCATGATCAGACGGGAAAGCCCATATGAAGACCCAAAATGGCTGATAGGCTCTTCCAAGAAATCTCCACCCCTTTTCCAGAAAAATCCTGAATATCCCTCCCCTTTACTGAATGCCCTACCCCTCCATTCAATAAGCCCCAGTAAAAGAAGTAAATCGCACTAGGGGGGCTGCTCTGCCTGTGGAGCAGCCACTCGTGCACCATGATCAGACGGGAAAGCCAAGATGAAGACCCAAAATGGCTGATAGGCTCTTCCAAGAAATCTCCACCCCTTTTCCAGAAAAATCCTGAATATCCCTCCCCTTTACTGAATGCCCTACCCCTCCATTCAATAAGCCCCAGTAAAAGAAGTAAATCGCACTAGGGGGGCTGCTCTGCCTGTGGAGCAGCCACTCTGTGTCACTGCTTCACTAACACCCACTTTCCCTCTCCGCTGGCTCCCATTTGAAGTCCTCCCTGCATGAAGCCAAGAGCCCACAGTGGGTCGCACACCTTTGGGTCCCCAGGCCCCAGAACCCCTGCATCACATGTGTGTTTAAATCAGAAACGGAAGGAAAAGAAAGTCTGCCTCAATGTGGGCACCGGTGCCGAGCTGTCTGGCTCCCCACGGGACGGTACCTTGTTTCCAATGGCCTTTTTGGGTGGGAAGTTGTAGGCTCTCACTTGCGGGTATTTGTTCTGTAACTTGTGGTGCAGACTCCTGAACTCCGTGTACCGCCGATAGACATTCCACTCATCATCTTTTATCCGGATGTAGACCTGGCAAGAGAAGGAAAGAAGAACATTGGGACCTTCCTTAAAAGTTCATTGCAATGGGTGGGCGTTGGGCAGTGCGCCACCCATGACATTGGGCAGTGCTCACCCACATCTGTGCAGGAGCCACATCTGCCTCCCGGGCCACTGCTGCCCAGTGCTGGCACAGAGCAGGGACTCAGTACTACTGAGTGAACACGTGGGGATATGAAAGATGAATCAGGCAGGTTATGGGAACAACACACTGTATATCATTTCCCCAGTTAATCTCAGCGATGCGTTACTCGTATTTCTGTCACATGCATACTGCAGCAGTGACAAGTTTCTGGGAGAGTCTATTCCTCCTCTCTGGCTATGCGTGTCCTCGTCTGTACACGGAGCTGACTAACAGCACCTCCTCCCGAGGTTGCGTGGACGGCATTCAGGTACAGCAGCCACGCAGCTGTGCCTGGGACCACGCGGACCAATCTATCTGGGGGAACGAGGGAGGGGCAGAGATGAGCCCGGCCGGATGGAAGGTCATGTTCAGATGGGTAAGCCCAACAGGGACACAAAACATCATTATTTTAATCAAGCTGTAACTCCGAAGAGAGGCTGTCTCATCAGCTTTTCACAGGCCTAACACCCTCCAGGCACACACAGCAACTACCCTGCGAGGGCAAACAAAAGTGGGAGAGGGATCAGTGCATTTAAAAAAATTATATGAGTTAAGGAGAGCCCGGAGAGTAAAGTCCGGATGATAAATGGCTAATGTAATTTGCAATCAGCAAATGTCAATATACATCCTAAGACCTCTTTAACCATAAAAATAGGCATCTCAATGGGATGATAAATTCTGCCTCCACATGAAAACCACCAGCATCCCCGATGCTGACATCATGTACTTGTAGTTTGGTTAGGCGACTATCAGGGTCTCTCACAATATTTGGACAAGACAGAGAAAGGAGGACTTAAACCAAAGAATTGCAAATAATGAATAGAAGTTTCCAGGGGAATTAGATGGAGAAATAGAGGCCTATCGAGTTTATTAGAAGCCTCCAAGCTAAGAGAGACAGTAAATACATTGGATGACAGATATCAAAGTGACCTCATCTGGCCTGAAGGATGAGTCTAATCCAACGTGATGAAATTCATGAAGTTCAATGTCAGGACCTGCCATAAAATCCAAAAAACTAACATTGTAAGTAAAAGGTGGGGGAGAAAGCACCCAGCAGTAGCCTGAGGGACAAAGACTTACAGGTCTCAGTAAATTCAAACTAAGTGAATAATGTGGGAGAGCCATTAAAAATGACAAAGCTGGTTGGGCTCAGTGGATAGAGTGTCAACCTATGAACTGAAGTCCTGGGTTTCATTCCGGTCAAAGGGCACATGCCCAGGTTGCAGGCTCGATCCCTAGTAGGGGACATGCAGGAGGCAGCTGATCAGTGATTCTCTCTCATCATTGATGTTTCTATCTATCTCTCTCCTCCCTTCCTCTCTGAAATCAATAAAAATATATTTTTAAAAAAAATCTGGGTCGGTATGCCCAGTGGTTAGGGCATTGGCCTACGGACAGAAGGGTCATGGGTTCGATTCATGGTCAAGGGCTCATACCTGGGTTGCAGGTCCAATCCCTGGCCCTGGTCAGGCCCATCTAGCCTGGTCGGTATTCCCAGTGGTTAGGGCATTGGCCCACGGACAGAAGGGTCATGGGTTTGATTCATGGTCAAGGGCTCGTACCTGGGTTGCAGGTCCAATCCCTGGCCCTGGTCAGGGCTCATGCTGGAGGCAATCAGTCGATGTGTCTCTCTCACATAGATGTTTTTCTCTTCCCCCCACCCTCCCTCCTTTCCACTCTCTCTCTAAAGATCAATGAAAAATCTTCAGGTAAGGATTAAAACAAACAAACAAAACACCATGCAATCTTCAGACCTCATTAAAAGGTAAATGGCAATGTCTAGAATAAAGGAGTTAAAAGTCTTGCTCTATCCTAAATCTAGCAGAGCAACTTAGTCAGGTTTTGGATGCCACCTGCTAAGAGATGACCTGAAATACATCCAGGAGGCCCAGGACCACCTGCTACTCAAAGTGTGGTCTGTGGACCAGCAGCAGCAGCATCACATGGGAAGATGTCAGAAACCCAGCCTCTCAGGCTCCACCCAGAGCACTGACTATAAGGGATCTGCACTTTAATGAGAACCCCAAGTGGTGCATGCACACTTCAAAGCTTGAGGAGCACTAGGCTTCATGAGATGATTTACAACCAAGTTATCGGAAGAAAGAGAAACGACATTGGAGGATGATAACCTGAGCCTCAGGATAGAGGGGGTCGAGATCTCCAAACACCTGGAATGAAGAGGAGGACAGACCAAGATGCCTGTCCCAGTGACTCCGGGAAGCAGACTTCCAGCAGGTAGAAAGTAGAGAAAGACATTTCAGTAGAGAAGAACTTTCTAGCAGTAAAAGCTGCCCAAAGAGGAAAAGGTATGTCGCAAAGGGTTTCTTGGCGCTGGGTGTCCAAGCAGTGCTATGATGACTGATAGGACTGTGATCACAATTATGCAAGTATTTGATTTATAACAGTGACGTAGACATTAGATCCCCAAAAGCATCTGGAAGGGCCTGGCTAAATATGGAGACCTGGGCCTTCAGGCTCACCATCTCCATAGACTGAGTCAGTGAACAAATCAGCCTGGCAGAGCTCAGGGGATGTGGCGTATTTGGGGCATTCTTTGAATCCCTCTGAGTGATAGCAAGTGCTAGTTGCCCACCCAGTACCCATTTCCCCCCAATATTTCTTGGGATAGCAATGTATTCAGAAAGATACCAAAACCTACATTTTCCATCTCCTTCACAGATAAGAGTGGCTAATGAGATATAAATAAAAGGTATTGTTTGGGGATTCTAAGTTTGTAAGTAGATCTGACTCAGCCAACAAGTGCCTTATTTTTTGTTTATTTGTTTGTTTGTTTGACTCTTCTGTCTTTTGCCTTCTTTCTCAAACACAGACGTGATGACTGGAGCTCCAGAGGCCATTTGATGATCGTGAGGAAGTCATGAGAAGGGGAGGCAAAAGACAGACGGACCTTGGGCCTCTGATGACATTTTGGATTCACTACACCAATTATTAGACTATCGACTCAAAAAATGTTTTAAGGACCTTGGGCCTCTGATGACATTTTGGACACCAATTATTAGACTATCGACTCAAAAAATGTTTTAACAAAACAAATATTTATCTCTAGTTTGTTAAGGGCCTTTGCACTAGTGGCCGGATACAATTCTAGTCTGATGTATCTTGAATGACTCTATCTGCTAGTATATTCTTATACAAGTCCAAAAACCTTCCCACCCCCACAGAGGGGCAAGTTCAATCACTTGTCTGATCACCACACACAAGACTAATTATCTAGATCAGGAGAGGCAACCTATAACCTATGGGCCAAATCCCGCCCCACCCATTTGTTTACCGATTGTTTATAGCTGCTTCTGCAATACAATGACAGAATCAAGTGGTAACAACAAAGACCATATCTCCTAGAAAGCTGAAAATATTTACTTTCTGGCTCTTTATAAAAAAAAACACACACAAAAAAACAAAAACTTTTCTGACCGCTGACCTGGATATTAGGGAAGCCCTTATTATTGTTATTTTTTCACCAACATATCCAAGATCGAGTGTGGAGAAGGGCAGTGTTTTCAAATAGTCCCAGCCCCTATATTAACCATCTGCGACCCAGGAATCCAGCGTCCCAAAGCTTCCCTGGTGATTCGAAGGAGTAGGTGTTGTGGTCTGAATGTTTGTGCCCATCCATCCCTGACACCAAATTCTTATACTGAAACCCTAACACCCAATGCAAAACCAAGTTCTCTTTTAAAACAAGAGAACAATGTGAGGGTATAAGAGGTGGGGCCTCTGGGGGTGATAGGTCATGAGGGTGGAGCCCTCATGACTGGGATTAGTGCCCTTATAAATGAGACCCCGAGAGCTCCCTCGCCACTTCTGTCACGTGAGGACATGGTGAGAGGATGGCTGTGCATGAACAGGAAACAGATTTTCACCAGATGCCAAATCTGTAGCACCTTCATCTTGGACTTCACAGCCTCCAGAACTGTGAGAAATAAATGTCTGTTGTTAAAGCTACCCCATCTACAGCAGTTTGTTACAGCAGCCCAAGTGGACTAAGACGGTGGGCATCTTGGGGAACCCCTCACAAAAAGCACAGGTAGGTGTCAGACCGACAGGCATTCCTTCCCTCTGACTATGTGTACATGGAGCTAACTAACAGTACCTCCTCCCAAGGTGGCATGGACGGTATTCAGGTACAGAAGCACACAGACCACCACACGCAGAAGACGGAACTCAATTTGGAGAAGGAGGGAGGGGCAGAGATCAGCCCGACCAATTGGAAGGTCATGTTCAGATGGGTTCGCACAACAGGGACATAAAACATCATTATTTTAATCAAGCTGTAACTCCCAAGAGAACACTCTGGGGGGACAAAATGTGAGGGCTGTCTCATCAGCTTTTTACAGGCCTAACATCCTCCAGGGACACACAGCAACTACCCTGAGAGGGCAAACAGAAATGGGAGAGGGATCAGTGCATTTTTAGAAATTACATGAGCTAAGAACAGCCCAGAGAATAAAATCTCCAACGATAAATGACTGTTGCAACCTGCAACCAGTGAATGTCAGCACACACCTTACTTAAAACCCCTAACACTGATCAAAGCAAGCATCTCTAATGCGATGCATTCTGACTACATTTTTCAGGGCACAGTCAGGATGCCTGAGCTCCTCCTGCTCTTCAATGGTCCCCCTTGGCCTTCCATGTGGGCACCTCCTCTTCTGCCCACCCTGTAAAGGGGAGGTCTTACCCGGGTCCTCCCTCCTACACCAATAGCCATGGCTCGGAGGGCTCCTACATCATCTTACTTCCAGCTCCGCCCCTTGCTGTGGCACCCAGGAGAGTGCCCATTTCCCTTAAAATCCTTTAATTTCTTAAATTCTTAAAAATTGCTTTACAACCAGGGTGGTGTGAACTTGCCTGCCTTTCTTTA